TAGATGCAGACTTTAAGTAAAAGAGAGAGGTCTCTCTGAGCTGCTCTTCCAAATTTCACATAAGCCATTCACCTGAAGCCATAGATGTCAAGATTCAAGGCCAGCTTTGCCTTTGGCAGTCTGCCTCACCAGGTGTTCACAATCACAAAGTCCGAACACATATAATACTTTTAGTTAAGAAAGCCATGTTAATCCCAAGTCTCTGCTAGGCCTGGGAGATGTGGGTGACCTATAGAAAACACCAGCATTTTCTTTGAAAAATCTGCAACAAAACGTGGGTGGATCTATCACTTCAGTAATACCAACTCCTTTAGAATTGAGGCTCTGATTATCCAGCACCAGCTGCAGTAGAGTGGGTATTGTGTGCATGTCTGATATATTTTTACCAAAACTCCTGCCTGCCCAGCTCACCAAAGGAGAAGGGAAACAGGAAGGCCAAAAGGAATGGTACAGAGCAGTGTTTCTCAACCTTTTTTTTATAAGCTTCAAAGAGGTAGCCCAGTTAGTCTGCAACAGGAAAAATTTTAAAAATGACCAATAGTCTAGTAGCACTTTAAAGACTAACAAAACATGTAGTGGTATCATGAGCTTTCCTGGGCAGAAGTAGGTTTTGCCCACAAAAACTCATAATACCATCTACATGTTTTGTTAGTCTTTGAAGTGCTACTATTGTTTTTTAAGTTTTTCCTTTTTTTACAAAGTACCTTAAAAAAAAATTATAACTATCCTCAATGCACCCACCCTTCTCCCAGAGCCAGGCACATCTAACTCACTGCTCTAACCCAATGCCCCACCCCTCCCCCAGAGCCAGGCACCGGAGGTATGGGACGGTAAGGTAACCCTACCTTTAAAGTGGCCATTCCTGCCACCTGGCCCTACTGCCTCAGTTTGATTGCAGTTTTTACAGGGAGCCAGCACATGACCCGCCAGCTCCCCACTCGCCACTATGCGTGGGCCTGTGCACTCCAGTCCCACCCCAGCCCTCCCCTCCCCGCTCAAACCCAATGCACTCTCCACATCAGATGCACATCCTCTAATGTGATATATGCCCTCAAGTGCCAATAATGCCCCTCTGCCATGTGTATTGGCCAAACTGGACAGTCTCTATGACAAAGATATTAGATATTCGAAATGGTAACAAACATAAATCTGTATGTGAACATTTTAATCTGCCCAGGCACTCATTAATGGACTTAAAAGTAGCCATTCTTCTACAATGGAATTTCATAAGTCAACTACAGAGCTTGCAGAATTGACTTTCATCTGAAAATCTGACACCTTCTCACTTGGTTTGAACAAAAACTTGAACTGGTTAACATATTATAACACCAGCTTTCTTTACATTAAACACTCTACTGACATCAAAAGCTAAGTATGGAACACTTCCAGTCCTCTCAATAAGCCTCATTAGTACCAGGACTACAATTGACAGGTAACTTTTTTTGTTTCCTCTCTCCTTTCTTATTCTTATTTTTACAGTCAAGATCATCTCAGTTGAAGAAATGGGTTTTGCCTACAAAAGCTCATGATACTAGATGTATATTTTTTTTAGTCTCAAAGGTGCCAGAGGACTACTCGTTTTTTAAAAAATTGCATCAAGGGAGGTTTAGTTTGGACATTTGGAAAACCTTCTTAACTGTCAGGATATTTATACACCAGAACAAATTGCGTGGGAAGGTTGTGGGCTCACCATTACAGGAGATTTTTAAGACGGGGTTGGACAATCCCCTGTCAGGGAAGGTCTCGATAATATCTAGTCCTGCCATGAGTGCAGGAAACTGGACTAGCTGTCTCGAGGTCCCTTGCAGTCCTACGATTCTGTGATAGTACAGGAAGATGATGAAGTCAGATATGAATTTATAAGCAGAATGGGAAAGGCATGCACTAATGGAGAGAAGGGAGGGAGGGATCTGCTGAAAACACCTGTCACACAGAAAAGGGAAGCCCTAGAAGTTGGTGGTCAGGCCTGCACTTCTATATGGCTCTGAATGCCAGGGACCGAGAAAGAGCCAGGAGCTGACCTTGAAGACAGAGGAATGAAAAGTGGACTGAAGTGGAGATGAATGTAGGAGATAGCTGTGTAGAGAGTCTCTGGGTTAAGCTAAAAGGGGTAAAAAACGAGGGTGATATCATGCTAGGAGTCTACTACAGGCCACCTAGCCAGGTGGAAGAGGTGGATGAGGCCTTTTTTAAACAATTAACAAAACTATCCAAAGCCCAAGATTTGGTGGTGATGGGAGACTTCAACTATCCAGACATATGTTGGGAAACTAACACAGCGAGGCACAGGCTATCCAATAAGTTTCTGGACTGCATTGGAGACAACTTTCTGTTTCAGAAGGTTGAAAAAGCTACCAGAGGAGAAGCTGTTCTGGATTTGGTTTTAACAAATAGGGAGGAACTAGTTGAGAACTTGAAAGTGGAAGACAGTATAGGGGACAGTGATCACGAAATAATAGAATTCATGATCTTAAGGAAAGGTAGAAGGGAGACCAGCACAATTGAGGTAATGGATTTCAGGAAGGCAGATTTTGATAAGCTCAGAGAACTTGTAGGTAAGGTCCCATGGGAAGCAAGACTGAAGGGAAAAACAACTGAGGAGAGTTGGAAGTATTTCAAAGGGACGTTGTTAAGGGCCCAAAAGCAAACAATTCCGCTGTGTAGGAAAGATAGAAAATATGGCAAAAGACCAGCTTGGCTTAACAAGGAGATCTTGCACGATCTCAAAATAAAAAAGGAGTCATATAAAAAATGGAAACTAGGACAACTAACAAAGGATGAATATAGGCAAGCAACACGGGAATGCAGGGGCAAGATTAGAAAGGCAAAGGCACAAAATGAGATCAAACTAGCTACAGGCATAAAGGGAAACAAGAAGACCTTTTATAAATACATTAAAAGCAAGAGGAAGACCAAGGACAGGGTAGGCCCACTGCTTAGCGAGGAGGGAGAAGCAGTAACAGGGAACTTGGAAATGGCGGAGATGCTCAATGACTTCTTTGTTTCGGTCTTCACCGAGAAGTCTGGAGGTGTGCCTAACGTAGTGAATACAAGCAGAGAGAGGGTAAGTTTAGAAGATAGGATACACAAAGAACAAGTTAAAAATCACTTAGGAAAGTTAGATGTCAGCAAGTCACCAGGTCCTGATGAAATGCATCCCAGGATACTCAAGGAGCTGATAGAGGAGGTATCTGAGCCTTTAGCTATGATCTTTGAAAAATCATGGCAGACAGGGGAGATTCCAGAAGACTGGAAAAGGGCAAATATTGTGCCCATCTATAAAAAGGGGAATAAGAACAACCCAGGAAACTACAGACCGGTCAGTTTAACGTCTGTCCCAGGGAAGATAATGGAGCAGGTAATTAAGGAAATCATATGCAAACACTTGGAAGGTAATAAAGTGATAGGGAATAGCCAGCATGGGTTTGTGAAGAACAAGTCATGCCAAACTAATCTGATAGCTTTCTTTGATAAGATAACGAGCCTTGTGGATAAGGGAGAAGCGGTGGATGTCATATACCTAGACTTTAGTAAGGCATTTGATACGGTCTCGCATGATATTCTTATTGATAAACTAGGCAAATATAACTTAGATAGGGCCACGATAAGGTGGGTGCATAATTGGCTGGATAACCGTAGTCAGAGAGTTGTTGTTAACGGTTCTAAATCCTGCTGGAAAGGGATAACAAGTGGAGTTCCTCAAGGGTCTGTTTTGGGACCCATACTGTTCAACATCTTCATCAATGATGTAGATATTGGGATAGAGAGTACGCTTATTAAGTTTGCAGATGATACCAAACTGGGTGGGGTTGCAACTTCTTTGGAGGATAGGGACATAATTCAAAATGACCTTAGCAAGTTAGAGAAATGGTCAGAGGTAAACAGGATGAGGTTTAATAAAGAGAAATGCAAAGTGCTCCACTTAGGAAGGAACAATCAGTTCCATACATACAAGATGGGAAGCGACTGTCTAGGAAGGAGCATGGCAGAAAGGGATCTAGGGGTCATAGTGGACCACAAGTTGAATATGAGTCAACAGTGTGATGCTGTTGCAAAAAAAGCAAATATGATTCTAGGTTGTATCAACAGGTGTGTTGTAAGCAAAACTCGTGAAGTCATTCTGCCGCTCTACTCTGCACTAGTTAGGCCTCAGCTGGAGTACTGTGTCCAGTTCTGGGCGCCACATTTCAAGAAAGATGTGGAGAAATTGGAAAGGGTACAGAGAAGAGCAACAAGAATGATTAAAGGTTTAGAGAACATGACCTATGAAGCCAGGCTTCATGAACTGGGCTTGTTTAGTTTGGAAAAAAGAAGATTAAGGGGGGACATGATAGCGGTTTTCAAATATCTAAAAGGGTGTCACAAGGAGGAAGGAGAAAATTTGTTCCTCTTGGTTTCTGAGGACAGGACAAGGAGTAATGGGCTTAAAGTGCAGCAGGGGAGGTTTAGATTGGACATTAGGAAAAAATTCCTAACTGTCAGGGTGGTCAAATATTGGAATAAATTGCCAAGGGAGGTGGTGGAATCTCCCTCTCTGGAGATATTTAAGAACAGGTTAGATAGACATCTGTCAGGGATGGTGTAGACAGAGCTTGATCCTGCCTTGAGGGCGGGGGGCTGGACTCGATGACCTCTTGAGGTCCCTTCCAGTCCTATTATTCTATGATTCTATGAAAAGCATGAGTGGCGTGGAGAGGGTGCATAAAGAAAAGTTCTTCCTGGACTCGATGACCTCTTGAGGTCCCTTCCAGTCCTATTATTCTATGATTCTATGATTCTATGAAAAGATTAAGCTGGATGTTTGGAGTTACAGGGTAGGAGGATGAGGAGGATTGGGCCCCAGCGATACAAGGAACAAACACAGTATTGGCCTGATCTTGGATGGGCACTATATGGGCTACTGTAAACCAACAGCAAAGGTATTTCTCTGGGAATTTCCACCGTGGTGACACAAAATGCAGGGCTAAATTCCAAACAATGACTGATGAGTTCAAACGTACCTGTGGAGAGCGACTCCTGCACGATTCTTTCATTCCCTCGAACTTGGTGCTGCAGTTCATGCTGGGCACTTGGAGCAAGGGGGAGAGAGGAGCAGACGTTAGAACTTTCCCTTCACATTTTCATATCAACTCGCTCCTGCCTGGGGAGAAATCCCCTTCTCTTCCCAACCCAGATGGCCGTTCTCAGCCTCATGCCAGTCCTATGCTGCCAATAGTTTAACACACTGCTACTACAAAACTCCCTCCCTCCCTTCCCATCTCACTCTGCCTCTCCCCTCCATTTACATTTTGCTTTGCCCCTCCCTATGCTGCTGACCCATGCCTCCTCCCCTCCCAGCCCACATAACCCTGGCATTCTGTCAGCCTGCAGCTGATCGGAGTATGTCCCAAGATGACTGGATGAATTTGAGGGCATTTTAGATCTGCTGCTACTCTTTTAGAAAGCTCCTGGGCGGGGGTGAAGTCATCCAGCATTGTTGGGGGCAGTGGTATGATTGCCTCCCCACCCCAGCCCCTGCAGTCCCTAACCAGAGCCATTATCCTCACCCCAATACAAAGTCCCTACTCTAACCCAGAGCTCCCTCCTGCACCCCAAAACCCTCAGTTCCAATCCCATCCCAGAGCCAACACCCCAGGCTGGATCCCTCATCCCCTCCCATATCCCAACCCACTCCTGCACTGCACAGCTGTTGCCCACATTACAAACTCTCCACCCCACTCTTCAGCCCAGAGCCCCTCATGCACCTCAAAGCCCTCATCCAAAGCCCCAGAGTCTGCAATGCCAACCAGAGCCCTCAGCCCCTCTCCAGCCCATACTTCCTGCCCCAACCCAGCATCCCTCCTGCATCCTGAATCCTTCATCTGGCCCCACCCTAAGCCTGCACCTCCAGTTAGAGCCCTAACCCCAATCCCTCCGGTATCGCAAGTGCCTGTTCCAACCTGTACACTAAGGCAGAGGGAATGTAGTAGTGGGAGGTGGGGCTTCGGAGAAGGGGCAGGGATATGTGTTCGGTTTTGTACTATGAGAAAGTTGGCAACACTAATCTGGGTGTTGGTGCTGAGCCTGTGTCCCGACCCCTAAGGCCAGTGGGGGCAGCACATGTTGGCCTGTATCTGGCAGCAGTAGGCTGCGTGCTGAGGCCAGCGAGGGTCCCCTCTCTTCTCCCAGGTGCCTCCCTGCAAACCTAGTGAATTATTCCCAATCCACAGGCTAAAATAGGGGATATCCTGCCCCTCCCCCTCCCCCCATGCTGGGATAGCTATCAAGGGTCAAAACTGATCATCGCCCCAGTGAGTCAATCAGCAGCCTCTGGTACAGCACCAGGCCTGGAATGAGTGCGGAAGGTGAGGAGGGGTCTCAGCAGGGCAGGGTGGGGGCCAGAGCAGAACTCACCCCGGCAGCTGTTCTCACTCGCGTTCGGGAATCTGGCTTTCCCAGAGCTGGACTCGTAGCCATCGGCGCAGCTGCAGTTGAAACTCCCAGGCTGGTTGATGCACTTGGCGTCGGGTCCGCAGTTTACTGGATTGGGCCCCAGACACTCGTCGATATCTGAAACAGGAGGGATGCTCTGCTCAGCCCTGGCAGGGAGACGTTCCCCGTTCGCCCGCCCCCCCACTGACCTGACAGCAGGAGCCCCAGGACCCAGGTGACCGGTGCCCTGAGCATTCAGCACTCACAGGTCAGATTCACAGCAACACTAAGGTGTTGGGCCCCTCTGGCAACATCATGGCCTCTGACAGCGTCCCTCCCCCCCTCCTGTGCAGGGACCTCCCCAGCCAGCATGGAGCCAGTATAAGGGCCCTGTCCCCACCCCATCGCAGGGGCTGGATGGGGACATGGCCACACCCCCTGCACTGTGGCTATTCTCTGCTCCCGAGGCTAATGCAGGGGGGGATCGGGGAAGGTGACCAAGTTTCCGGTTTTTGACCAAACACCTGGTTGAAAAGGGACCCTGGCGGCTCCAGGCAGCGCTGCTGATGGGGCCGTTCTAAGTCTGGTCTGTGGTGCTGCAGGGCTAAGGCAGGTGAGTCCCCACCTGTCCTGGCATCGCGCTGCGCCTGGGAAGTGGCCAGCAAGTCCAACTTCTCAGGGGGACCACGGAGCTGCTCAGAGCACCCACACTCCATTGATCAGTTTTTTCTATAGGCAGGGGCAGGGAGCTCTAGGTGCTGAGCCTGCTGGCCACTTCTGGAGCCACATCCCAGAGCCTGCACCTCAAACCAGAGCCATCACCTGTCCCGAACAAAAACTCCCTGGTCCAACCCAGAGCTCCTTCCTGTACCCCAACCCCTCCAACTCCAGCCACATCCCAAAGCCAACACCCCAGCATGGATCCCTCAACCCCTCCCACACCCTAACCCACTCCTGCACTCCGCAGCTGCTGCCCACATTCCAAAACTCTCCACCCCACTCTTCAGCCCGGAGCCCCCTCATGCACCTTAAAGCCCTCATCCGAAGCCCCAGTCTGCGACACCAACCAGAGCCCTCAGCCCCTCTCCAGTCCATACTCCCTGCCTCATCCCAGCACCCTTCATCTGGCCCCACCCTAAGCCTGCGCCTCCAGTCAGAGCCCTCACCCCGTCCCATGTCCCAGCTGCCTGCTCTAGCCTGATAAATGTGAGTAAGGGGAGGGTGAACAAGCCAGCAAGGCAGGGTGGCTGCCTTGGTGAGTGGCGGGGAGGGCCTCAAGGAAGGGGCAGAACCACAATGGTCAGTTTTGTATTATGAGAAAGTTGGCAACAATAATCGGGTGTAGCTGGGTTGTCTAGTGCTGAGCCTGATTCCTACTCCCTGGAATAGTTGACAGAAAATCTATCGACTATTTGATTAGGGAAGTAATCGCATTTTAACATCCATAGTCTGCAATCTGCCTGGCTCCGTCCCTCACACTCGTTGATATCTGCAATGCACAGAGCCAGTCCCCTTTATCACCCACCTGCATTGACCTGGGAGACTGAACCCAGGTGTCCGGGGCCCTTAGATGTCAGTGAGACAGGACTCCTAAGGGCATTGCCTGGGCTGAAGACAATGACACCTGCTGGAAACACACCAGACCTGGCCCTGCCATGACAGAATCCCCTGTAAGGTCTCAGGAGAACCTTCCTGACCGGATGAGGTATGTGGCTGTTATTTGCAATTGCTCCCCACAAATCGGAGCTGGTTGTTCTCACCCCAGTAGCACCAGGCTACAGCATTATGAGACATAACAAGGTTCAAAAATAACTAGCAAAATTCATGGGGGACAGGTCCATGGATGGCTGGTAGCCAGGATGGGCCGGGATGGTGTCCCCAGTCTGGGTTTGCCAGAAGTTGGGAATGGGCGACAGGGGAGGGACCACTTGATAATACCATTCTGTCCACTCCCTCTGGGACACCCAGCACTGGTCGCTGTGGGGAGACAGGACACCGGGCTGGACGGACCTTGGGTCTGACCCGTGTGGCCGGTCTGATGTTCAGGCCATTCAGCATTTCAAGTCTCACAGCACCATTCCTGTTGTCCAGCTGGCTGGCCTGCTCCATGGAACTCCACATTTATCTCCCCCCGGGTGCCTCACCCTTGCTCTGCCTTGAGGCCTTGCCCCCTCCGTACCCTTCCTCTAAGGCCCTGCTCTCATGCCACCTCGTACTGCACCTGCTATGTCCTTCCCCAACAGCTCTTTCCTTGCCCTGCCTCTCCCCATCCACCCCCACCGCAAGGCTTTGCCCTCACTCTGCTTCTTCCACACCCAATCCAGCCCCTCTTCCAAAGCCCCTGCAGCTCCCTGCTTTCCGCCCTCCCCTAAGTGCCTCCCCCTGCCCTTGGAGAGCTGATCAGAGGCACCTTCCAAGAGAAAACCAAAACATTTTCCAAAAAATTTCCATTTCAGTGGATTCAAAATAATTCCTTTTCCAGTTCAGGCAGTAACTGATCACTCGGCTGCACCCAGCTCCTCTCCTACGTCAGCCGGGCACTGGGGAAGCCTCCCTCAGAGCAGGCAATGGTTCTGGTTGTATTGCCCAGCGCTGGCCCCGCTCCTGCAAGGGGCTGGTCACCTCCAGGGGGCACTGGGGACCAACCTCGACTCCCGTTGAACTGAGGGAACTCAGCATCCCTCAGGACGTGCTCAGCACCCCGCAGAATCCTGCACCCAGCACCACTGACTGTGATTCTGGGACCCAGGCCTGAACAGTCAATGGCCAGCCCTCTCTCTCATTCCCAGGGCACTGCTCACTCCCTGAGTGCGTGAGCCATCTCAGGTCAGACAGGGAGCCCCGTTACCATCGCAGGTCGATTGGTCAGTGAAGAAGCGACTCCCTCGTGACTGGAATCCATCCAGGCAGGCGCAGTGGGTGCTGTTCACACACTTGGCATTTAGTGTGCACATTAGGTCAGGGCAGATCTCAGCAACAGCTGTTGGGAATGGAAACCAGAGTGAGTCACCCTGCACCATCTGTTCCCTTCCCCCAGTTCATCTCATGCCCTGCGAGCCCCTGTGCATGTGCTCCAAACAGCTCTTCAGCCCCACATCTCCTACTCACTCAACGACCAGGCTGGAGCTAGCAGTGCTCAGCTACGCTGAGGCCCTGCTGGGCCATTCTGGCAGTGGCATGGTATCTGACAGCCCCCTACCGCATCCTGTACAAGGGCCTCCCCAGCAAGTCTGGAGCCAGCCTAAGGGCCCTGCCACCAACCCATCACAGGGAATGGATCAGGCATGGTCACACCCCCTGCACTGGGACTATTCTCAGCTCCCGAGGCTAATGGGGGAGTGGATCAGTGGAGAGGGACCAAATATCCAGTATTCAACCAGGCGCCCGGTCGAACAGGGACCCTGGTGGCTCTAGACAGCGCTGATGTAGGGGCCATTCAAAGTCCAGTCAGTGGGGCTGGGGGGCTCAGGCAGACGAGACCCCATCGGTCCTGGCACCGCCCTGTGACTATTGAATTCTGATATGAACACGACAAACGTGGTTGCAATCACTGTCCTGTGTCTGCACCAAACCTTGTGCAACGGGGCCAAGTGAGGGGTCTGTGGAAAGCTCGTGAGTCGCTGGCTCTGTTCATACTACTCCTGGGCAGGTACCATTTCTGTATGTGCGGTGAGGAGCAGTGGCTCTGTGCTTGTATTGCAAATGTTTGCTTCTGTGGGATTATCAACAGGCCTCACTGACCTGTAGCGGGGGGGGGGGCGAAGGTTGCCCTCACGTGACTAGCAGCGCTGGCTCTGTTCATACTACTCCTGGGCAGGTACCATTTCTGTATGTGCGGTGAGGAGCAGTGGCTCTGTGCTTGTATTGCAAATGTTTGCTTCTGTGGGATTATCAACAGGCCTCACTGACCTGTAGCGGGGGGGGGGGAGAAGGTTGCCCTCACGTGACTAGCAGCACTTCTCTGACAATGCACCTCGAGTGGGGCCAGCCCACAGGTGAGGAACTTTGCTGTGACCCTGCAGACCAGCAGGTCAGCGACAGCTGCTACGGACTGAGTCCCGCACGGACAGGTGACCTGCTCACATGACACACTCCGATTGGGGAGGTGCTTTCACACGGGGAGAACAATGGAATTCCCTCCACAGGGCAGGGGTGTAAAAGGGCCCCAGAGATTCCTCCGTTTGTCTTCATTCAGCTCATCACTTCTGAAGCATCTTTGCTATGAACTGAGCCCGGGAAGAATGATAACCGAGCCTGAGGATGTGTTCCAGATACAACAAATTCATCTGTCTCTGCTACAAGCCTTCACCAAGAACTTCTTATTTTCATGTACGTGATTTGATTCCTTTAACAATTTTACTGTCAACATTTCCTCTTTCACTAATAAACTTTTAGATTGTAGATAATTCAGGACTGGCCCCGCTTGCTCTTTTGGTAAATCTGAGGTATAAATTGACCTGGGAATGTGGCTGGTTCTTTGGGAGCAGAAGAACCAGTTTGGAGTTGGTGTCATTGGTTTTCCTAACCTCTCTTCGGTGTAAGGAGGGTGCTTGGTTGTGGCCCAGGACAGCTGGAGTGTCTATGGGGGTTGCTTGTGTCACTCCCTGCTGGCCAGTGTGATGAACAGAAGGTTTCTTTGTGACTGGTTTGGTACCTCATGCTGGAGGATTCCCAGTCTTCAACTATAATTTCACCCCGATTTGGCTGTACCACCAGACAGGCTACATCACACACCCTGTGCCTGGGAAGTGGCTAGCACGCCCAGCTTCTAGGCAGGAAGGTCTTGGAGCTGCTTGCACTGCCCAGGTCCCATTGGCCGGTTCCACCAGTGGGCAAGAGGGGCAAGCGGAGACTCTTAACACGCCTACCCGAGCCCAGGTGCTGAGCCTCCCAGACACTACCAGGGTGCAGCGTGGAGCTAGGTGCAGCTGGCTTAGCCTCACAGCATAGCTGAGCAGTAGCCCAGGCCCTTCTCCCCGCTTCCCTGACCTAACCCCCTTTCTCACCTCCTAGCCCAGACAAGACTGACCCATCCCCCAGGCCCTACTCCTCAGACTGGTGTCAGCCCCACCTCTCCTTTGTCCTCCTTCCAGATCCAAGGTGTTATCTGCTGTCCCCTGGTCCTCAGGACTTGAGAGACTGAACATACTTCCCCAGTGAGTCACTGGCTTCCCCTTCTCATGCAGATAGTGCTGCAGTGCCCCGGGGAAACTGAGGAGCACACATACACACAATAAAGCAAACCATAAATGTAACAACAGAGTGAACACAGGACTACAACAGTGGACAACACCCCCACTACATCACACCCTCCTACACACCAAACTCCATGTCCCCAGCTCCACCCAAGAGTCTGCATGGCCAACCAGAATCCTCAGACCCTCCTGAATACAAACTCCCAGCCCCATCCCAGCCCCCCTTCCTGCACCCTGCACCCTCGTCTGATCCCACCCTGAGCCTGCACCCCAGTTAAAGCTCCCACCCCCGTCCGTATCCTAACTGCCTGTCCCAGTCTGGTGAAAGTGAGTAAGGGTGGGAGGGAGCTAGGTACCGAGGGAGGGGAAATGTAATGAATGGAGTACTAGCCGGCTAGTACTCCAATCCTTGCTGTCTGCTCCCCAACCCCGGGCAGAGAGTGAGGACAAGAGACACCATCAGGAGGCATGACACTTGGTAGGAGGAGTCACGTTAAAAAGACAGCGGCCTAGGGACAGACTAGAACCTGTAAGCAGAGCGGCGAGAGAGACTGAATGGACAAACGGACACAGAGGAACTAAACCTCACACAGAGCAGCAAAGCCTGCATCAGCTTCACAGCTGAGACACATTCTGCGTGGGGCTCTTGAGATGGGCACAAACGCATCCCACACGGCTTTGCGTTCTCTTCCGCCAACCTGGGAACTTACCCATTGACGTTTGAATGCTCCCTGGTGGCACAGAGGGGACTAGGATCATGAGGAGAAATACTGGGAAAAAAATAAAAAATAAATATGTTTCTTAAAATTTTATACAAATAGAAATAAGCAAGAGACAGAGACAGAGAGAGAGGTCTCCTAGCCCCTGTCCATGACCAAATTTTGCTTGATTACTGTGATTCTAGTATAAATCCAATTAAGTTAATTCTTCCATTAATAACTGTTATTACCATAGTAATTATTTAGGAACCCCGGCTTTGTGCCATTACAGAAACCTAGATTAATCAGCTACCTCAAAATTTCCCTTGTGCACTGGTTCTGTGTTACAGCCCTCCCTCCCCCACCCCAGAGGTGAGTGGTAGGGTCAAGATACTTCTATGCTCTGACTATTGCCAGCTGCTGAATGGTCCCTTGGGCCAGGGATGCTTCAGGAGGAATCGGGAAGGCTTTAGGCTGCTTGCAGGCATCAGACTAATCTGCAGTTATCCCCTGGGATTCAGTGGTTGTGAACGTGGCTGGAAGCATCTTAGACCCATCCATGTCTTGGTCTCATGGGGTATGTCTACACTAGCACCCTAGTTCAAATTAGGGAGGCTAATGTAGCCATTCGAAGTTGCAAATGAAGCCCGGGATTTAAATATCCCGCACTTGATTTGCGTCTTCCCAGCCGGTCGCCATTTTTTGAAATTTACAAGTCCAGACTAACTGCCCGCGTCTACATGCGGCAGGGACCCGGTAGTTCAAATTAAAGCCCTAATTTGAACTACCTGATAAACCTCATTTCAGGAGGAATAACAGGTAGTTCGAACTAGGGCTTTAATTCAAGCTACCGGGTCCCTGCCGCATGTAGACGCGGGCAGTTAGTCTGGACTTGTAAATTTCAAAAAATGGCGACCGGCTGGGAAGACGCAAATCAAGTGCGGGATATTTAAATCCCGGGCTTGATTTGCTACTTCGAATGCCTACATTAGCCTCCCTAATTCGAACTAGGGGGTTAATGTAGACATACCCATGGTGAGTTCCTCTCAGCCACCCCAGGAATCTCACCCATAATTCTAAGGGTGTTTCAGTAAGTCTGGATGAAGTCTCAATTAGTGCAACATGAGCATGGGAGGGACCAGAAGAAATTGCCTGTCACACCAAAGTAAGTATAAATTCGAGCTCTAGGAGACTTAGCTGGGCTTGCTCTGACCAGCTGGCGTATGAGAAACAGAAGTGTGGCCGTGTTTGAGCAAGTAACAGGAGAGGCTCCCTGTCCCGACCACATCCCTGTCCAAAGCCACAGGTAGGCACTCAGGGCAGCTAGCCCCTCCCCCTCTGTTCGGACACTTCTCTGTGTAGCACGCAGCTAAAAGTGGAAGACAGTATAGGGGACAGTGATCATGAAATAATAGAGTTCATGATCTTAAGGAAAGGTAGAAGGGAGACCAGCACAATTGAGGTTATGGATTTCAGGAAGGCAGATTTTGATAAGCTCAGAGAACTTGTAGGTAAGGTCCCATGGGAAGCAAGACTGAAGGGAAAAACAACTGAGGAGAGTTGGAAGTATTTCAAAGGGACGTTGTTAAGGGCCCAAAAGCAAACAATTCCGCTGTGTAGGAAAGATAGAAAATATGGCAAAAGACCAGCTTGGCTTAACAAGGAGATCTTGCATGATCTCAAAATAAAAAAGGAGTCATATAAAAAATGGAAACTAGGACAACTAACAAAGGATGAATATAGGCAAGCAACACGGGAATGCAGGGGCAAGATTAGAAAGGCAAAGGCACAAAATGAGATCAAACTAGCTACAGGCATAAAGGGAAACAAGAAGACCTTTTATAAATACATTAAAAGCAAGAGGAAGACCAAGGACAGGGTAGGCCCACTGCTTAGTGAGGAGGGAGATCTGCCAGCCCCATACTTCGAAATGGCGGAGATGCTCAATGACTTCTTTGTTTCGGTCTTCACCGAGAAGTCTGGAAGAGTGCCTAACGTAGTGAATACAAGCAGAGAGAGGGTAAGTTTAGAAGATAGGATACACAAAGAACAAGTTAAAAATCACTTAGGAAAGTTAGATGTCAGCAAGTCACCAGGTCCTGATGAAATGCATCCCAGGATACTCAAGGAGCTGATAGAGGAGGTATCTGAGCCTTTAGCTATGATCTTTGAAAAATCATGGAAGACAGGGGAGATTCCAGAAGACTGGAAAAGGGCAAATATTGTACCCATCTATAAAAAGGGGAATAAGAACAACCCAGGAAACTACAGACCGGTCAGTTTAACATCTGTCCCAGGGAAGATAATGGAGCAGGTAATTAAGGAAATCATATGCAAACACTTGGAAGGTAATAAAGTGATAGGGAATAGCCAGCATGGGTTTGTGAAGAACAAGTCATGCCAAACTAATCTGATAGCTTTCTTTGATAAGATAACGAGCCTTGTGGATAAGGGAGAAGCGGTGGATGTCATATACCTAGACTTTAGTAAGGCATTTGATACGGTCTCGCATGATATTCTTATTGATAAACTAGGCAAATATAACTTAGATAGGGCCACGATAAGGTGGGTGCATAATTGGCTGGATAACCGTAGTCAGAGAGTTGTTGTTAACGGTGCTAAATCCTGCTGGAAAGGGATAACAAGTGGAGTTCCGCAAGGGTCTGTTTTGGGACCCGTACTGTTCAATATCTTCATCAATGATGTAGATATTGGGATAGAGAGTACGCTTATTAAGTTTGCAGATGATACCAAACTGGGTGGGGTTGCAACTTCTTTGGAGGATAGGGACATAATTCAAAATGACCTTAGCAAGTTAGAGAAATGGTCAGAGGTAAACAGGATGAGGTTTAATAAAGAGAAATGCAAAGTGCTCCACTTAGGAAGGAACAATCAGTTCCATACATACAAGATGGGAAGCGACTGTCTAGGAAGGAGCATGGCGGAAAGGGATCTAGGGGTCATAGTGGACCACAAGTTGAATATGAGTCAACAGTGTGATGCTGTTGCAAAAAAAGCAAATATGATTCTAGGTTGTATCAACAGGTGTGTTGTAAGCAAAACTCGTGAAGTCATTCTGCCGCTCTACTCTGCACTAGTTAGGCCTCAGCTGGAGTACTGTGTCCAGTTCTGGGCGCCACATTTCAAGAAAGATGTGGAGAAATTGGAAAGGGTACAGAGAAGAGCAACAAGAATGATTAAAGGTTTAGAGAACATGACCTATGAAGCCAGGCTTCATGAACTGGGCTTGTTTAGTTTGGAAAAAAGAAGATTAAGGGGGGACATGATAGCGGTTTTCAAATATCTAAAAGGGTGTCACAAGGAGGAAGGAGAAAATTTGTTCCTCTTGGTTTCTGAGGACAGGACAAGGAGTAATGGGCTTAAAGTGCAGCAGGGGAGGTTTAGATTGGACATTAGGAAAAAATTCCTAACTGTCAGGGTGGTCAAATATTGGAATAAATTGCCAAGGGAGGTGGTGGAATCTCCCTCTCTGGAGATATTTAAGAACAGGTTAGATAGACATCTGTCAGGGATGGTGTAGACGGAGCTTGATCCTGCCTTGAGGGCGGGGGGCTGGACTCGATGACCTCTTGAGGTCCCTTCCAGTCCTATTATTCTATGATTCTATGATTCGTTACTTTGCAGTGAGACCCAATGGGGAAAACCGAGCACAGTGAAGATGGCCCAGCTCCATTTTACAGATTCACAGAAATGGAGAGTTGTGAGGGACCTGAGGAGCTCAAACAATCCACCTCCAGGTGCTGAGGAAGGACCAAGCGGACCTAGAACATCCCTGGCAGGTGTTTGTCCAAACTGTTCTTAAAGCCTGCACTGACAAGGACTCCACAACCCCCTCAACGCGTGTTCCTCTGCCGAACCATCCTCAGAGTTAGAAAGTTATTCCTGATATCTAACTGGCTTCTGCCTTGCTGCTGACTACATCGGTTCCTTCTTGTCCTATCCTTGGGGGACCTGGGTGCCACTTATCATGGTCCTTGTTATAACAACCTTTTACATATTTACATATTTGCAGTGTTATCAAGTCTCCCCTCAGCCTTCTCTTCTATGCACAGAACATGCCCAATTCTTTCAACCTTTCCTCATGAGTCATCTTTTCTAACCCTCTGCTCATTTCTCTTGCTCTCCTTGGCTCTGTACAGTTTGTCCTCATCCTTCTCTTAGATCAGTGCCCAAATCTGGACATGGTACTTCCACACCAAATAGCATCACCTCCCATCTCTACCCAACCTTCTCTGGCTATACATCCCAGAGTGACATCTGACTCTTATCAACAGCCTCACACTGTAGACTCACATTTCCTTTGTGGTACACCAGAAACCTCAGACTTGTACTGCAGTTTTGCTGTCAAGCCAGGGAGTCTCTATACCCCCCTGACAAATTTTGCACCCTCCTTATAGACTAGAGGAAACTAGCACGTTTCCTTATTTGAAGAAGGAAAATGTCATGTTGGGATTGGTCCTGCCTTGGGCAGGGGGCTAGACTTGATGACCTTCTGAGGTTTCTTCCAGCTCTATGATTCTATGGTTTCTAGGACTGTATTGAAAGACTTATTAAATTCTATACCTCATATGAAGGAAATTGCATCTGTGTGGCATGATTTATTCTTGACAAAAGGATATTCCTCATCACTTTATTTTCCTCTAAGGTTAAATAAATTGGTAATGTAATCATTTGTTCCAGTATCTTTCTGGGAACTGAGTTAGGCTGTCTGGTCTATAATTCCTCAGTTCTGCCCTTTTTTTTGGAAGACAGGCACTGTTTGTCCTTGTTAGTGTAGACTATAGGGCTATCCTGTTTGCTTGCCTATAGATATATACAAAAATGTGTACCTTGAAGTGTCCTGTCACATATCCAAATTTCTGTTTTATTCCAAAATATCTGACTTTGGTGGAAAACAAAGCAATATATAATTGTTAGCTCATAAAAACCCTAATAAAATTAATAAGAATATAAATAAAGCAAAACAAACTATTCCATAATTAATTTAAAGGGTAATAAATTTGTTTAAACCTCTGGTGTAAATGTTGAATTAAAAATAGATTATAAATCAGGAATTATTATTTTCATTATTCTAAAATACAAATCTAATAGGTATAAGCCCACTGCTAATGATGGGAAAGGTGAAGGTGATGAGAAAGATAAGGGCTAACACCTCAGTTGTTCTAAAAACAAATGACGCAAGTATGTGATATAAAAATATAAATGTGCATTCCCTACCTTGTTTGTATCTGTGCTAAATGTATTAATAAATTATATTTATAAATATACAAAAGTTCCTACAGAGTAAGAGTTGCAACTGTGCACATCAGAATTCTCAACAAGAAAATCATTAAATATTAAGCCTAGTCTTAAAACAAAAACCTATCAACTCTAAAGGTGGTAACAAAATTTATAAGCAATCTTAAATCAGGCAACATTAGGAACCTTGCCCATCCTCCAAGAGATCTGGAAGGTAATCACCAATGGTTCAGAGGTTGCTTCAGCTAGCTTCTTAAGTACTCTGGTGTGAATTTCAACAGACACTGCCAAGTTGCATAGATCTAACTTAGCTAAAAATATTCTTTGCTAGTCTATATGGGTATGTCTACACTACCCCGTTAGTTCGAACTAGCGGGGTAATGTAGGCATACTGCACTTGCAAATGAAGCCCGGGATTTGAATTTCCCGGGCTTCATTTGCATAAGCGGGGAGCCGTCTTGTACATTTCAAAGCTGGCACTGAACCTGAGGTCAGCTGGGGGTCCCCAGCTGATTTTGGGGGTCCCCAGCTGATTCTGGGCTCCCCTGGCATTTAAAAGTGGCAGCGCCGCTTGGAGCCCAGGATCAGCTGGGGACTCCTCAGCTGACCCCAGGATCAGTTTCAAAGGGGGCAGTGCCACATGGAGCCCGGGTTCCATGTGTGGCTGCTGCTTTGAAGTACCTCATCTTTCCCCCCTTTTGCTGCCTCTATCTGGCATTTGCTTATCGGGTAGTCGACTAGTCCTTAACATTCCTAATTGTGACCAGATACATAACACCAGTTAATATTAACGTGAGGGAAGGAACAGTGGCCAGAATAGGGAAATGACATAGGGTATGTCTACACTACCCTCCTAGTTCGAACTAGGAGGGTAGTGTAGACATACCCTATGTCATTTCCCTATTCTGGCCACTGTTCCTTCCCTCACGTTAATATTAACTGGTGTTATGTATCTGGTCACAATTAGGAATGTTAAGGACTAGTCGACTACCCGATAAGCAAATGCCAGATAGAGGCAGCAAAAGGGGGGAAAGATGAGGTACTTCAAAGCAGCAGCCACACATGGAACCCGGGCTCCATGTGGCACTGCCCCCTTTGAAACTGATCCTGGGGTCAGCTGAGGAGTCCCCAGCTGATCCTGGGCTCCAAGCGGCGCTGCCACTTTTAAATGCCAGGGGAGCCCAGAATCAGCTGGGGACCCCCAAAATCAGCTGGGGACCCCCAGCTGACCTCAGGTTCAGTGCCAGCTTTGAAATGTACAAGAGTCCCTAGTGGGTTCTCTTGTGCATTTCAAAGAGGAAGTGTAGCATGGAACCTGGGGCCAGCATGGAACTCTGAGTCCCTTACTGATGCCAGGCTCCATGTGAATGCTTCTGCTTTGAAATGTACAACAGCCTCCACTGGGGCTCTAGTCCATTTCAAAGCAGAAGCGCTCACGTGGAGCCTGGAGTCAGTGAGACTTCCTTCTGGTCCTGGGCTCCAGGCAGCATTCCAACATTGAAATGCACAACCGCCTCCGCTGGGGCTCTTCTACATTTCAACAGTGGAAGACAGAAGTGCCTATCGACTAGTCGATGGAAATTTCATTGACTACTTGTCTAGTAAATGAATTGTGAGTTAATATCCCTAGTCACAATTAATCCTTTCAATCCTGCATTCAGGAAAACTTAAGATGAGCCCACACTGAGTGGCTGGT